CATTCCACGCTACCATAACGCCCTGGCCACGTCTGCCTCATCATGTATTAGCATTCCACGCTCCCATAACGTCCTGACCACGTCTGCTTCATCGTGTATTAGCATTCCACGCTCCCATAACGTCCTGACCACGTCTGCCTCATCATGTATTAGCATTCCACGCTCCCATAACGTCCTGACCACGTCTGCCTCATCGTGTATTAGCATTCCACGCTCCCATAACGCCCTGACCACGTCTGCCTCATCATGTATTAGCATTCCACGCTCCCATAACGTCCTGACAACGTCTGCCTCATCGTGTATTAGCATTCCACGCTCCCATAACGCCCTGACCACGTCTGCCTCATCATGTATCAGCATTCCACGCTCCCATAACGTCCTGACAACGTCTGCCTCATCATGTATCAGCATTCCACGCTCCCATAACGAGGATTATTCAACGGATCAACATCATGACACACGGGTGTATACCATAAGTACCCCGTTCTACTTCTAATTCAAGCTTGATTCAGAAGAATCTCAGCGCAGTGCACGAACTCCGTTGCACCGGCGAGTATCCTGAAATACGCTGGGTAGATTTTTAACTCAAAATTTTGCTCGGAAACCCCGTTAGGCTATTTTTCATTTCCATTTTTTTAATGTGATTATCAATACGCAGGGGCGTCCAATTTTACTACCCAGAGATCGCGAAAATTATTTGAAGTCCACGTGACAAAATCCCAGCCCTCATCGGCGATTGAACCTGGGACCTCCAACACTGGAAGCGGACATCATTCCTCGAGACCTCTAAGCCCCCAGCCCCCCCCCCCCCCACAGCTAATGTGGTTACAATGTTGAACGGGGTTTCGCAGGTTTGTAGCTGTAACTCTAGACTGTAGCAGTCCCGTGACTAGAGCCTTTATTAGTATATAAACAGGTCATTTGTTTAATTCGGGAAAACGGCTGAATAACTGACGTTCCACACCACCAGGACCGCACGACCAACAATAAACACCCGGTGACACAAAGTGCCATAATTTGGGTGAGAGTCACCCGGCCGTAAGTCCCAGAAATCCCGCTCAACCCGTAGGTTATATATGGGCCCTGACAACAGCTGGGTTGGGGCTTTAGAATAAAAGTTGCGTCCCATTTTGGGTCAGATTAACATTTAAGGCGGAAACAGCATTTGTTTCATATATATAAATAGAAGGACGAAAACGACAGATAGATTCGGCTGAGTTATCCCAGATAATGAAAACAATCGGCGAATCTATAAAGCTATATTAGACCAGATAATAATAACAGAGTCAACATTTATATAAAAGATATCAGAATACATAAATAAAGCCAAGATGAAACTAGAGGAGGTAAGCGAACAGTCTGAATATAGACAATAAATAGGCAGTTAATGAGACGTTACAGGGAGCAACCAAATATAGGAAATTAATAGGCAAACAGCAAGCACGCGCAAGCGATTGCAGTATAATTTTCTCTTCTTTTTGTTTCTCTCCATGATCTGCCCTGGGCTAACGCTGTCGTCACATGAAAGCTGTGCCGATCGATTTCATTCATGCCAGGAAATAACGATGCATGGAACCGGCGAATTGCAGTACTGTGCTGTTTTCCGGCGCTTTTGACCAACTTGCAGACCGTGGTAATAGCAGCACGTTCATTGATAACAGTCAGACTGGGTGTTTGTGTCACTGCGCATGTCTGTGTATGTCTAAGGAAATGACTGAATGAGCATTGCCGCTTCTTCTTCTTCTTCTTCTTCTTCTTCTTCTTCTTCTTCTTCTTCTTCTTCTTCTTCTTTTCTTCTTCTTCTTCTTCTTCTTCTTCTTCTTCTTCTTCTTCTTCTTCTTCTTCTTCTTCTTCTTCTTCCACTTCTTCTTTTTCAAAGGCTCTAAACTCAGAAGGAAAGTTATGGTTGTTCGTCAACTTCTTGCTCCAGAAACTGAGTTTTGCGTGCACATCAGTTTTAAAGATCTGGCTTGTTTGTAAGTAAATAAACGCCGTCTGGAGGTGACAGGTTCAATTCCCGGCACGGTAACTATAGCTTTCGATTTTTATGTTGTCTAGTGTGTTCTTCTATCTTTCTACTTCTTTCTATGAGTGCCGTTCACAATACTTTCTGTTACTTGATTAATTCATTGTTTGTAAGTAGGCTGTTGGTTCTTTGCCTTTAAGGCAGTTGACCTGGGATTTCGATGGAAACATCCAAAATTAGTAGAATTTTAGGTCATTCTTGATTTAGGGAGGGGGGGGGGCGGTAGGGGGTAGGTGTAGATATATTCTACCTCCGTTCCGCCCCCGTCATTGAGGCCCTGGGACCTAAACTGTGACTAATCCCCCTCTCTAAACCTTTCTTCTTCTTCTTCTTCTTCTTCTTCTTCTTTTTCTTCTTCTTCTTCTTCTTATTTTTTCTTCAGATATGTGTCATTTGCCCTCCCGCCTGTTAATAACATTCTGTTTAGTGTACTGTCAAACATTTCTAATACAAATGCTCTTCATAATGTATAGAATCAAATCCTGGATGTCTTGCTGCCTTTCTTTCCCTCGAACTTTCATTCTGTCAAAATGTACTCAAATTGTCTCCTTCACACTGACCATCTGTTTATTTAATCGATTTCTGGGGGATCGTTAATGAAATTAATTTAACATGGAAGAATCAATTGAGAGTATTTATGAACATAACCGTCATTATCATCATCATCATCGCTATAATAACCATCCTTATTATCATCATCATTACCACCATCGTCATCTGATTCCCACTCCTCATCATCATCAACATTATCATCACTAAGTTCTGCGGGGATTCCAGCTCAAGAATTCCTCACAGGAAGTCTTGCCACTGTGCCACGTCTTCTGTTCCCTTCAGTCTGATGCTAATTTGAACCAAAGACCTTTAAGCCGACAGGGAAGAGTTTGACCACTTCGCTACCAATTCCCAGCTGTAAATAAGATTCGATAAAAACCTCTGAACGAACAGACATATTGACATGTGTATTTTAATCCCTTATGTGTCGGTGTCGGCTCTGTGGCTAAGTCGATGCGAACGCTTCGCTTCGTAATGCCGGGATGCCAGGTTCGATCCCAGCTGCGGGCACTGCGCCTTGCGTTGGTTTCGACAGTGGTATCAAGAAAGCCGACCGTTCAGAAGCAATGGCAAACTACTGGACGTATATTGCCTAGAGAAACCACACAACAGCCAGGGGCTGTTAGGGTTGGTTCTGCAACGTCCTGTAAGGATACGCAACTAACTTTAACTTTATGTGTCGGTGTCTGTGGCTTAGGCGTTGCGAACGCGCTTCGTAATTTCGGGGTGCCGAGTTCGATTCCTGCTGCGGACGGTTTGTCTTGCGATGGTTTGGACCGTGGTACAAAGAGCCGACCGCCCAGTAGCAATGGCAAACTACTGCATGTAAATTTACCTAGAAAAACCACAAGAGCCATAAAGTGTTTGAGTTAGTTCTGCAACGTCCTGTAAAGAATACGCAACTAATGTAATGTTAATGTGTCATGAAATTGTGAGCTGTATTTATTTCGCATGAACTGTGAGTAACCCAGCCCAGATCGATATCATTGTAATCTTCCCCTGCATTTAACCTTTTACCTTTCGTGTGCAGGGTTCAATGGATTTAAGGGGAAAGTATGCTTAATTTGACATCATGCGTCTGTCCAGCCGTAGTTTGTTGGGAACGTGAAATGATACATATTTATTTGAGATAAACAGAAACAAGGCTTTCCTAAGAGGTAGCTATCGATCTCTCCTGATTTGCCTGAAATAAACAATGACTATAATTTATCAAACTGTATTTGTCGGTACGGAGAAGATAATAAATTATAAGTTTAAAGAGACAGTGGAGAGTTTGACACCAACAGAATGTGTGTTTTAGAAATACTATCAGTCCATGAGTTAGAATACTACGGACCAATATGATTATCAACGTTACAAAGCAAGGACTATCAGAAGAAATAGACGATTTATTAGGTCTTTGATATCTACAGCTTTCTGCTCATTGTCCAGCTTTTTATAATATGTGATTCCGTATCTGCCACTTGATAGTTGAACATCTAACCCGACGAGCCACTTTATAGTTTAGCGACTAAAATATGCTATGCCTCTATTCCTGTCTGAGCCACAAAAGGACGAGCTCGTCAACAATGCCCAGTTGTCTGAAAGGCATCAAAATTCACCCTAATACAGACGGATGCATCTAGAAACAAATGTTTCTAGAAGTAACATTTATCTCCTTGCCATCTCCCCGCCCCTTAGGGTTCCTTAACAGGGAGTACAAAAAAGGTGTGACACCAAGGGATGCGAGGAGCCACATTTCGTATGTCAGTCCCGACATGACCTACTTTACAGTAGGTCTTGGTCCAGAAGATTAAAACCCAAGACATCTCTTCATTCGTATAAAACAAATGTTGGAGGTCAACAACAGTTGCCAAACAGTAATCAGAGGGCTGATGTGGGTAGTGTTTCGTTAGCAGAAACGGCAACAAAGCAAACGAAACCAACGATCCAGGAGCAACACAAAAAAGGATTCAACAAATAAGATCTTCGCAGGTTTATAAAATTACCCGGTCACAACGTATACAGTGAGAGACGAACATCGTAGAAGCTCCCTGATAACAATATGTCCTTTTTTGGACTAAAAACACAAAAGGCAAAACACAACAGCGTGCAAGGAACACAATAGACAAGAATGAGGAAGAAAGAATAACAGAACTTTGGAGAAAAAAAGGGGAGGGGGAAACCAACAACAACTAAAAATCAGCTTAGAGAGGGGAACAAAAGTAACTTAATTATTAACAAGGTTTCCAAACAAGGAAATTGAACAAGATCAATCTTGTGTGTGTGTGTGTGTGTGTGTGTGTGTGTGTGTTTGTGTGTGTGTGTGTGTGTGTGTGTAAACGAACAAACGAACGGACAAATGTTAAGGTTATCTTAAACTAGGGTGAAATGAGACAGAAGGTCAACTGAAAATGCTGTATAATGGTATTAGAACCCTCACCCTTCACCGGCAATGGCAATCCCTGTGATCTCTTCATACTTCCCAATATGATGCTCTTCCTCTTCAGCGAACACAGTGTGGCCGATGCCGCCGCCACCATCCCCGCCATGGTAATAGTGACCGCCATGCATATGTTGATGCCGGTGATGCAGATGGTGATGCATGCGATGGCCATGCCGTCGGTGATGCTGATGGGATCGAGTGTGGTGGGCCTTACTGGCATGATGGACGTGCCGAGCATGTTGCATCTCGTCGTCCTGGTTACCGTTGACAGTTCGGAACAACCGGAAATTGTCCAACGTCGGCCACACTCGACGAAGACGGGATAAACCGAGTGTTGGCCAACGCAGTGACTGCTCTGGAAACGTTGTTGCTGTTGCTCGCACAGAAGAGGGGGAACTATCACAGACGCGCTACCCACATCATTGTGTTTTGGTGGGGTACTGACAGAAGTACTAGTCGAAATGAACATCTCAGTGCGACCGCAACGCACATCTCTAGGGTTGCAAACATGTTCGTTTTGCAAACAGTTAAATTATATGTTAAAAAATCTTTTGTTGAAATGTTCCTAGTTTTACAAATCAGGGGGTGCCATGGTCTACTAGAAAAGCTTTCTGGTTTAATCTGAAATACGTGTCTGTTTGTTTAATGGGAGTTCATTTCTTTAACATACTAGTATTTGTCTAACGTAACATACACTCTTTCCTCACATCTAACGTACGCCTTTTTCGTCTAATCTAACACATGAGTTCTTTTTTTTTTTTAAATAGCTTTTTTTAATTCTAATATAAAGTACGAGTTGTTGTCTACTGTAACATACCAGTTCTTTTTTTTTTTTTTTTTTTTTTTTAGTAATTTACGAGATTTAGCCTAACGTAACTTACGAGTTTTTGATCTCCAAGCTATTTTATCAAATAGGACACAGTTGTACTGCTTATCTAATGCGACAGACATCTCTTGTATAATGTGACAATGACATAGGAGATGGTTGTCAAATGCAGCACACCTCTTATATAACCCGATAAACGAAATATTGTGTATAGTGCAATCTATAAAAATATCCCTGGTCGTATGATTTATTATGTAACCTAGAAACTATCCAGTCTAATGTCATCTGGAAGTGTTCCTTTGTAATGTGACATGGAAGTGTTCAGGTATAATGTGACATGAAAGTGTTCCTTTATTATGTGATATGGAAGTGTTCCTGTCTTTGAGTTTTTGTTGGAGGTTTTTGAACAACGGATCAACATCATAGCACCATAAGTACTCCGTTCTTCTTCTAACTTAAGTCTGAGTCCGAAGAAGCTCGACACAATGCACATGCTCTGTAGCACCGACGAAGATCCTGAAATACTTTAGGTAGATTTTTAACTCCAAATTTTGCCCGGGCAGCGCCGTTAGGCTACTTTTTTCGATTTCCAGCCGCCAATGGATTTTTTACGAGGGCAACAATGCACACGGGCGTCCAATCTCAAAACCCAGAGGGAATTACTAGAAGTCCAATTCCACGTGAAAAAAATCCCAACTCTCACCGAAGATTGAACCCGGCACCTCTAGCACTCTTGGCGGACACCATGCCACGAGACCGTGTTCCTGTCTAATGTGATCTGAAAGTGTTCCTGTATAATGTGACATGGAAGTGTTCCTGTATACTGTGACATGGAAGTGTTCCTGTATACTGTGACATGAAAGTGTTCCTGTATATTGTGACATGGAAGTGTTCCTGTATATTGTGACATGGAAGTGTTCCTGTATATTGTGACATGGAAGTGTTCCTGTATATTGTGACATGGAAGTATTCCTGTATATTGTGACATGAAAGTGTTCCTGTATATTGTGACATGGAATTGTTCCTGTATATTGTGACATGGAAGTGTTCCTGTATAATGTGACATGGAAGTGTTCCTTTATAATGTGACATGGAAGTGTTCCTGTATATTGTGACATGGAAGTATTCCTGTATATTGTGACATGAAAGTGTTCCTGTATATTGTGACATGGAAGTGTTCCTGTATACTGTGACATGGAAGTGTTCCTGTATATTGTGACATGGAAGTATTCCTGTATATTGTGACATGAAAGTGTTCCTGTATACTGTGACATGGAAGTGTTCCTGTATATTGTGACATGGAAGTATTCCTGTATATTGTGACATGAAAGTGTTCCTGTATACTGTGATATGGAAGGGTTCCTGTATACTGTGACATGGAAGTGTTCCTGTATAATGTGACATGGAAGATCTATCTAATACGATGGGCGGGTTTTCCCAATATAACCACTGACTCCAACTGTACAGTTCACTGTAATATGACCCTGTATATCTACTAACAGAGTTCTACTTTACAAATATCTGTCTCATTATACCTGTTATTCTCATTTGAACAATTAAAAAAAGTTTGCTCAACGCCAGACCAGCTAATTTTGCCTAGATAGGGAATAAGTTAATATTCTTACCTACCAGCTCGGCGGGTTTCTGTTCGAATACCCTTTGATACTGTTTTTCATTGACAGGGGCTGCAAGATAGACACGGTCTGATTATAGAAACTATGAAGGTCTAGAAAGTGAAGGCGGTAGCCATGGTACTGACCACACTATTTATCGAGTGTCCATTAGTCTAAAATATACAACTATAGCAGTGTATAGCAATCAATATACTTTACTTTATGGAATTAGACTTGATTTACACGCTTTTTCTAAGTTCACGTTTGTTTGTATGGTGCAATTTTTGCGTTCGATTTTTATATTTGATTTTTAAAGGCTTTTGAGCTAGTCGAAATTGCTGTAGCGTACTGGATGCAGGCACGAAGGATTTGTTTCATATACGCCTCAATGTGGATTTTAAAAATTAATTTGGCTCTCATGGTCTAGCGGCTAGACGCTCGGCTGCGGATCGGAATGTCGTGGGTTCGGTTCGTGACGAGCACCGAATTGTTTTTTCTTCAAAAATTGTCCTTGGCTGCCAGGTCGACCCACCCTAAGTGGGTACCAGACACAGTCCTTGGAAGTAAAGGCGGCCGCGTGATGCTGACCAAATCACCTACCAAGTGTCATTTAGTCCATAAAATCTAAGTCTAGTTCTATATACCCAGTACGCCTGAAAGGCGTGGAATAGGGTCATTCACTATAACTTTGGCTCTCATGTCAACCTAGAAAACCTAGCTGGAAACCTAGCCGAAAAGGATTACGGAGAAATTTTAACGCCAAATGTGTATTGTCCTGAGATGCGATCTCTGACTCACTTTACCTTATACGTTATTGGTGTATGGGAAGTGATTTGTTAATACTCAGAAGGCGTACTTAGAAAATGTACATATTTTGCTTTTTAAAACTAGAAAAAAAATAATTGGACATTAATTGAAGCATCCAAGCCCCTGATCTATCTCTCTCTCTCTCTCTCTCTCTCTCTCTCTCTCTCTCTCTATATATATATATATATATATATATATATATATATATATATATATATATATATATATATATACATATATAATGTAGAAATCGATTGCAATACACGTAAACTGCAGCTTTAATTTTGTTTTGTAATACATGTTTTATACCTATCATTTTTGCTGGAAACAGTTTAGTGCTAAGAGCCTCTTCATTGTCGGTTTTCGTACAGTTGACGTTATATGTTGCTGCTAGTCATGTCTCTCACCAGACTTCTGTTACATGTATCATAATCAATACTAATAATAATATGGTCCCTATGCTGTGATCCCAATCCATCAAACATTTCCTTTCTTAATCTCACTGTTGCTTTCTTTCCCTTTGTCTTTCGCGATGTAATGACGTATTACATACTGTGTCCAAAAAATGTGGATTTTTTTCTTGATGCGAATAATAATCTTTCTTTAAAAATTAGCTGCTTTGATGCCATCTTCGTAACTATTTCTAGCTATTCATGTCGTTCTACTAATCCGTTCATCTATCTACATTTTGCAGCTTCTACATAATTTTCACGAATCGATTGATTATCAGGGTTATTACCAACAATAATATTTTATCTTCATAATTATAGAGAACTTTGTTGCGTTTCTGAGATGCTCTTTATCTTAATCGTAAATGAAATCTATTTCAGTCTGCTACTCATTCATTATTAAAGAATCCACATCACAGCACTGCGGGCACGCCCACGGATGATCAGTGTCCGGCAACATGTGTATTATGGTGTGGATGCCGACTGTTCCACTAGCACATTAGTTGTTCACACGTCGTTTCTTGCCATCAATCAATCAATCAATCCTCATCGCGGCTAGAGGCACATAAGGCAGTGACAAACTGTTGCCACTCAATTCGATCCTGAACCATCCTCTCTATCTCCAGTTTTTTCCTTCGTGTAGCTTTGCGTTCAGCCTCAAAGGTTCGCCTCCATGTGCCCCTGGGCCTATATCTTCCATGCTGTCCTTGTGGTACCCATTGCATTGCCTGTCTCGGTCGTCTCTCTTTCTTCATTCTGAGAACGTGTCCAATCCACCTCCATCTTCATTTTTCGATTTCTAAATTTACATCTTCTAAGTCTGCCATTTGTTGTAATCTAGAACTGCCGAATTTATTTTCCCATGTATTTGCAGGTAATTCTAAATGCACGCAACCTTATACTTGTTGTTTCAGTTAACATAAGCCTTCACCAACCACTATGTTCTTTGGCTCATCTTCAATGTAATTCACGACGTATTTTTCGATCGCGCCTGTCTATTCAGTTCGAATTTTCTTTTTAAATATATTATTTCTAAATTACAGATTAATTTAATAAACTTGATTCAAGTTTAAATAAAAGTTAATCATCTTTTGTGTGTGGATAATGACTACCTAACATAAATAAATCATTACAGCAAGCTTGTACGCTTGTTCATGAAAAATCGCTGAAGTAGTTTCTCCTAGACTTGCAGTTAGACTTCTGTTTTTTTTTTTTTTTTTTAATCCGTGCCGTGGTCAATATGTTTGTACACACTATTATTCCATGAACACTGCTTATAGTTAAGATGCAAATGTTTCTAAAATCTCTTGATACCAAACGAACATCTTCTTTCTAGGGTTTTCCCTTCCCCTCATCGCTTCCAACGTTCCCGGTGCCATGACGTCATCGTTTTCTACAGCGCCAGACCTATATTTATACGTTGAGTTAAAAACTGACTTCTCAAGTACCCACTGCGTTCCAATAAACGCTTCGTCCCTGTCTTCAGCATCCAACTTACAACTCCAGCGGGAATAGTGTTATCACCGGCTCGCATGCTTGTCTTGCTGTCC